CAGTATTATATTAGTTTCAGGTGCACAGTGTAGTGGTTAGGCATTTATATAATCTATGAAGTGATCCCCCTCATAAGTCTAGTACCCACCTGACACCCTAATAGTCGTCAAAACGTTGTTGGTTATATTCCCCATACTGTGTTTCACATCCCTGTGACTGTTTTGTGACTACTAATTTGTACTTCCTAATCCCTTCACCTTCTCATCCATCCCCCAGCCTCCTCCCATCTGGCAACCATCAGTTCTCTGTATCTGTGAGTCTATTTCTGTTTTTTGTTGTTGTTGTTGTTTTTTCTTGTTTATTCTGTTCTTTAGATTCCACATGTAAGTGAAATCATATGGTATTGGTCTTTCTCTGACTGACTTATTTCACTTAACATAATGTTCTCTAGGTCCATCCATGTTGTTGCAAATGGTAAGACTTCATTCTTTTTTATGACTGAGTAATATACTCCATTGTATAAATGTACCACAGTTTCTTTATCTGATCATCTACTGATGGGCACTTGTGTTGCTTCCATATCTTGGCTATTGTAAATAGTGCTGCAGTGAACATAGGGGTGCATATACTTTTTTGAATTAATGTTTTGGGTTTCTCCAGATAAATACCCAGAAGTGGTATTGTTGGGTCATATGGTAGCTCTGTTTAATTTTTTGAGGAACCTCCATCCTGTTTTCCATAGTGGCTTCACCAATTTGCAATCCCATCAACAGTGCACGAGGGTTCCCTTTTCTCCACATCCTCGCCAGCACTTGTTTGATGATTTATTGATGATATCCATTCTGACAGGTGTGAAGTGATATCTCTTTGTGGTTTTTATTTGCATTTCTCTGTGATTAGTGACGTTGAGCATCTTTTCGTATGTCTGTTGGCCATCTGTATGTCTTCTTTAGAGAAATGTCTCTTCACGTCCTCTGCCCATTTTTTAATAGCATTGTTTGATTTTTTTGGTGTTGAGTTGCATGAGTTTTTAAAATAAATTTTGTATATTAACTAACCCTTTATCAGATGTATCATTGGCAAATATCTTCTCCCATTAAGTAGGGTGTCTTTTTGTTTTGCTGATGGTTTCCTTTGCCATGAAAAAAACTTTTGTTTGATGTCCAATTTTTTTATTGTTTTGTTTCCCTTGCCTGAGAAAGTGTATCAGTACAAATATTACTGAGGGTAATGTCTGAGAGTTTACTTCCTATATTTTCTTCTAGGAGTTTTATGGTTTTGGGTCTTACATTTAAGTCTTAAATCCATTTCGAGTTTATTCTTGTACATGGTGTAAGAATGTGGTCCAGTTTCATTTTTTGCATGTATCTGTCTAGTTTTCCCAGCATCATTTATTAAATAGGCTGTCTTTATCCCAATGTAAGTTCTTGCCTCCTTTGTCATAGATAAAATGACCATATAGGCATGGATTTATTTCTGGGCACTCCATTCTGTTCCATTGATTTATGTGTCTGTTTTTATGCCAATACCATGATGTTCTGATTGCTATATGCTTGTAGTACAGTTTGATATCAAGTAGTGTGATACCAGCTTTGTTCTTCTTTCTCAGGATTGCTGTGACTATTCGAGGTCTTTTATGGTTCCATATAAATTTTAGGATTTTATTTGTTCTAGTTCTGTGAAAAATGCCACTGGTATTTTGATAGGGATTGTGTTGAATCTATATATTGCTTTTTAATTATTTAAACTATATTACTTCTTCCTATAATTATATTAATTTTTCCTACCTATGATCATGGATATGTTTCCATTTATTTGTATCTTCTTTAATTTCTCTCTTCAATGCCTTATAATTTTCCAAGTACAGGTCTTTTTACTTCCTTGGTTGAATTTATTCCTATTTTTTTGGGTACATTTGTAAGTGGGACTGTTTTCTTAATTCCTCTTTCTGATAATTCATTATTGGCGTATAAAAATGCAACTGATTTCTGAATATGCATTTTGTATCCTGCTACTTTACTAATTTCATTGATCAGTTCTAATAGGTTTTTTGGTGGAATTTTTGGGGTTCTCTATATACAGTATCGTGTCATCTGCAAATAATGATAATTTTACTTTTTCTTTTCCCTTTTGGATGCTTTTCATTTCTTGTTCTTGTCTGGTTGGGGTGGCTAGGACTTCCAATACTATGTTGACTATAAGTGGTTAAAGTGGGCATTCTTGTCTTGCTTCTGATCTTAAGGAAAATGCTTTTAGCTTTTCCCCATTGAGTATGATATTAACTGTGGGTTTCTCATGTATGGCCTTTATTATGTTGAGGTATGTTCCTCTATTCCCACTTTGCTGAGAGTTTTTAACATAAATGGCTGGGTTTTGTCAAATGCTCTTTCTGCATCTGTTGATATGACCATGTGATTTTTATTTTGCATTTTGTTTACGTGGTGTATTGCATTAATTGACTTGCAGATATTAAACCAACCTTGCATACCAGGAATGAATCCCACTTGATCGTGGTGTATGATTTTTTAAATGTATTGCTGGATTTGGTTTGCTAATATTTTGTTGAGAATTTTTGCATCAATGTTCATTAGGGATATTGGCCTAAAGTTTTCTTTTTTGGTAATGTCTTTGTCTGGTGTTGGAATCAGGGTAATGATGGCCTCATAAAATGAGCTTGGGAGCCTTCCGTCCTTCTGGATTTTTTGGAATAGTTTGAGAAGAATAGGTGTTAATTCTTTTTTGAATGTTTGATAAAATTTACCTGTGAAGCCATCTGGTCCAGGAGTTTTGTTTGTTGGGAACTTGTCGATTACTATTTAAATTTTGTTGGTAGTAACCAGTCTGTCCAGATTTTCTGTTTCTTCTTGATTCAACCTTGGAAAATTGTATACTTCTAGAAATGTATCCATTCCTTTCAGATTGTCTAATTTGTTGGTGTATAGTTGCTCATAGTATTTTCTTAATTTTTTTGGTATTTCTGTAGTGTCAGTTGTCACTTGTCCCTTTTGTGATTTTATTTATTTGGATCTTGTGTCTTTTTTTCCTGATGAGACTGATTAAAGGTTTCTCAATTTTGTTTATCTTTTCAAAAAAAAAAACAGCTCTTGGTTTCATTGATCTTCAGTATTATTTTTTTAGTCTGTATTTTATTTCCCCTCTGAGCTTTATTTTTCCCTTCCTTGTACTCACTTTGGGCTTTGGTTGCTATTCTTTTTCCAGTTCCCTTAGGTATAGAGACTGTTGATTTGAGATTTTTCTTGTTTCTCGAGGTAGGCCTGCATTGCTATGAATTTCCCTCTTAGGACCGCTTTCGCTGCATCCCATAGATTTTGGGTCATTGTGTTCTCATTTCTCTTAAGGTATGTTTTGATTTCTTCCTTGATCTCATTGTTGACCCATTCATTATTTAGTAGCATGTCATTTAGTCTCCATGTATTTATGTATTTTTCAGACACTTGATATCATTTGAGTCGTCTTAAATTTATTGAGACTTTTTTTGTGGTCTAACATGTGGTCTGGCTTGGAAAATGTTCCATGTGCACTTGAAAAGAGTCTATATTCTACTGCTCTGGGGTGAAATGCTCTAAAAATATCAATTAAATCCATGTGGTCTAGTTTGTCATTTAACATGCCAGGCACTTTATCTGACTAACCTTGCTAACTTGTACAGTAGCTAGACACTGTTAATCCCATTTTTAGAGTGAAGCTTACAATAATGGATTTTCCAAGAGTGACGAGTGCATTCTTTCACTTGGGGAGTACCACTAAGCTCTTTTATCTTCATCTCATTCCACACTTTCCACATCACTGCACACAGGTAGCTTCAGTAAGTATAAGTAGCCTGCCCAAATCTCACAACAAGGAAGAGCTAAGCTATAGGTTGCAATTGAAATACATACAGAAACATCTCAATGCTCTGTTTACTACAGATCCCTGCTGCAATGAAGTGACTTCTTTTGTCAGCATTTGCCAACAGTTTGATTACCAGGGGACGTCCAAATGATTGTGATTGTTTTGAGGTCCTGAGTCAAGCTGACCATGTGGCTCAAACTCAGGTCCCTCCTAGTAAGACTGTGGACAAATCTCGGGGAGATGAGAAGATTTTGTTCTAGTTCTCTGGTTACTAGGTTTTTTATATATGACAAGTAATACTCATCCAGTCCTAAACCTTTTCCCCAAACCGTTCATGCTCAGGCATCTGCGTAAAGAAGGCAGTCACTCCTCTGAAGGCACTTGTTATTTGGTTGCACAAGGATGTAGGGGATCTTACCAATATATTATTCAGTTCATTTACCCAGGGTAACCTATTATTTAAACACAGGGCTTAACAAATTTCTAGAATGAACTAGTTGCTTATGAACAGGCACAGTATCGTGGTGACTCCCACATGACACATCGCATATGTAGAGCCATCTCTTTTTCTTTGGAACATGGATTCAACTCCCACGTGTAGCTGGGCCAGCCTCCCACCTGTTCCCCTTGCAGGCACGTGGATTGGGGCAGGAGACACTGTTTTGCTTGATAACCTCTGACCCATCAGACATTCACTCCGTCGTTGACTCAGCCTGTCAACCACTCATTGACACACTCGCCAAATACGCTAAGTGCTTATTGTGTCGCCAGGTCTGTTTTGCCC